CTTTTTTGGGGGGGGGGGCAATGGGGCATGGCTCCGGTCAGTCAGTTGTGTGTCTTTGTGAATGGAAGGGGTCTTCTCCCCCAGGTTCGCATTTCCACCTTTGAGCCTCTCAGCTTTTATTTTGGAGGCCTCTCGGGTTAGGGTTAGGGGATGGTGGTGGTGGTGGCATCTCATATTTTGGTTTGGGGGCTCTTCTTCTGCCTTTGTTTTGGGGTCCCTCACGCTCTGCCTCCCCCGCAGTGTGGACGAACGTGGAGCCGCGTTCCGTGGCAGTCTTCCCCTGGCACTCGCTAGTGCCCTTCCTGGCCCCCAGCCAGCCGGACTCCTCCGTCCAGCCCAGCGAAGGCCAGCAACCTGCCAGCCACCCCTCGGCCTGCGGCCAGAGCAAAGGTGAGGAGGGGGCCACAAGAGAGGGAGGGGGCTGCCCTGTCACTTGTGTGTTCCTCTCACACGGTACCTTGCTTCCCCCCCCCAGAGCCCCCGGAGTCGGCTGCAGTGGCCCACGAGCCCCCCAGTGGTGTGGCCGGCACCTCCTCCTCTTCGGGGCCTGAGTCCGTGGCCAGGCCGAGCGCCCCCCGCCCCGACAGCCCCATTCCAGCCCCCCGTCCCCCCTCGGCCGCAGCCGCCGGGTCCATTGGGGGTCCCCCCTCGCAGCAGCAGCAACAGCAGGAAGAGGATGCCACGGGGCCCCCACGCCTGGACAGCGAGACCGAGAGTGACCACGATGACGCGTGAGTCCGGCTTCGGCCCACTTGGGCATTCTCCTACAGCAGTGTTTCTCAACCTTCCTAATGCCGCGACCCCTGAATACAGTCCCTCATGTTGTGGTGACCCCCAACCATAATATTGTTTTCATTGCTACTTCATAACAGTCATTTTACTACTGTTATAAATCATAATGTAAATATCTGATATGCAGGATGCATTTTCATTCACTGGACCAAACTGGGCACAAATACCCAATACACCCAAATGTGAATGCTAGTGGGTTGGGGGAGGATTGATTTTGTAATTTGGGAGTTGTAGTTGCTGGGATTTATAGTTCACTTATAATCAAAGAGCATCTGAACTCCACCAGTGATGAATCAAAGAGCATTCTGAACTCCATTATAATCAAAGAGCTTTCTGAACTCCACCAACTCCAACTTGGCTCCCATGACCAATGGAAAACTCTGGAAGGGTTTGATGGGCATTGACCTTGAGTTTGGGAGTTGTAGTTCACCTACATCCAGAGAGCACTGTGGGCTCAAACAATGATGGATCTGGACCAAACTTGGCACAAATACTCAATATGCCCCAATGTGAACACTAGTGGAGTTTGGGGAAAATAGACCTTGACATTTGGGAGTTGTAGTTGCTGGATTTATAGTTCACCTACAATCAAAGAACATTCTGAACTCCACCAATGAATTGGGCCAAACTTCCCACATGGAATCCCCATGACCATCAGAAAATACTGTGTTTTCTTATGGTCTTTGGTGACCCCTCTAACTCCCCCTCACGACCCCCTCAGGGGTCCCGACCCCCAGGGAGATCCTGGCACAAGTGGGAATGGCTTCCTTCAGCAGGTTGTAACTGGGAACTAAAAGCTATGTCTTAGAGGTGGGGGTGGGGGGGCAGCCCTTGCCTCCCCCCAAGCTTTTTGCGGACTCTTGGGCCTTTTTATACCTTTCTGTGCTTCGTTTGCGATATGGGTGTTTATGCAAAAAGGCCCCACTCTCTGCTGCCTCTGCTGAGGGAGCCAACACATCATGTGGGACTGTCTTGGTTTCCCATGCCCTCTCGGCCCAGAAGCCCACCACTCAGCCCTGGGCAGGTCACACTCTCTCAGCCCCAGAGGGGGGCATGGCTACCTCCGCAGAACAAGCCTTAGGCTTGACATCCGTCGGGAGTGACCTGAAGGCAGCATCCAAGCATTTATTTACCGTGCGGTTCTCGAGTCCCAATTTCATGGCGTTGTTGAGTTTTGCCTGATTGCCTTCAAACCGGCTGTGGTGCACGTTTGCAGGCCTTTGGTTCTCAACCCGCTTCCTTCCCACTTTCTGCAGGTTCCTGTCGATTGTGTCTCCAGAGATCCCGCTCTCGCTCCCTCCTGGAAAGCGCCGGACGCAGTCGCTGAGTGCTCTGCCCAAAGACCGGGACTCCTCCTCCGAGAAGGACGGCCGCAGCCCCAACAAGGTGCCGGCCCTTTGCTCCTCCTGCTGCGGAGGGAGAGGGGTGTGTGGGGGGAACTTCTGGGGCTGCCCTTTGAACCCACGCCTCCATTCCTCTTTCCTCTCCGGCAGAGGGAGAAAGACCACATCCGGCGGCCGATGAACGCCTTCATGATCTTCAGCAAGAGGCACCGGGCCCTGGTCCACCAGCGGCACCCCAACCAGGACAACCGCACCGTCAGCAAGATCCTGGGCGAGTGGTGGTACGCGTTGGGCCCCAAGGAGAAGCAGAAGTACCACGACCTGGCCTTCCAGGTATGCTGCTCCTCGGACCATGGATCCCCCCAATTGGGCATGTAGGTGGAATGAGGGTGTTGTGGGGAGGCTGTGAGGAATGCTGGGAGTTGGAGTCCAAAACACCTGGACTCTCTTCCTCGGGCCATTACAGTCTCCTAAGCAGAGCCTGGGTGGCCATCTGTTGGGGCAGGTCAGATTTGTGCTTTTCCAGCCTGGCAGAAAGAAGAGGGCTAGGCTGGATTTGTGTGTGTGTGTCTGAGAAACTGCAAGTCGCTTCTGGTGTGAGCGAATTAGCTGTCTGCTAGGACGTTCCCCAGGGGACGTTGCCCCAATGTTTTGATGTTTGACCATCCTTGTGGGAGGCTTATCTCATGTCCCCTTTGCATGGAGAGCTGGAGCTCACAGAGGGAGCTCATCCGCGCTCTCCCTACGACCCGGCGGCACAAGGGTTTAACCCTTGCCACCGGTGGCCCTGGAGATGTCTTCTAACGTTAGGATTCTGTCCTGTGTGCCCATCTCCTTCCCTGGAGGTATTTAAGCAGAGGCTGGGTGGCCATCTGTCGGGAGGGATCAGATTGTGCTTTTCCTGACTGGTAGAAAGGAGATGGTCCTGGATGGTCCTTGGGATCTCTTCAAATGTTAGGATTCTGTCTATCTCTCCATCTCCGTCCCTGGAGGTATTTAAGCAGATCCTGGTGCACCGCCCTCCATGCGTCTGGTGCGGTCCGTACTGGGTTCCATGCAGTTGACACTTGAGGGCAGAAAAGGCACCTCTCCGGTGATGCCTCAGGCTTTGTTTTGGTGACCTCTCGTGCTTTGTTTGGAGGGCCTCGTCCTTGTTTTGGGGTCTCTCCCGCTTTGTTTTGGTGACACCTCATGCTTCGTTTGGGGGTCTCAGATGTGCAGAACAAAACCTGGTACAGACCGCGGGCATCAGAGGGTGGCCGGGGGTCTCCTTCTTTGAGGATACGTAATTCTGTTTTGAGTGCTTTGTTAGCCGCCCTGAGTCCCTTTGGAGAGATGCGAGGGGGTTACAAATAAAGATTTATTATTGTTATTGTTCTTATTTGTGCTTGAGGGGAGGGGGGCTTCAGCCTGGCTCACGGCTCTCCATTCTCTGCCCAGAATGAATTGGTAGAGCAGTGCCAGATTTACATGGGTTGGATATTTGGGCTCTTTGTGTGCAGCGTGTCTTCCTTCCAGAGATACGTGTAGCATGTGTGTGTCGCTCTTCTCAAATGCCTCCCTGCCCCCCCCCCCCTTGCGCCAGGTGAAGGAGGCCCACTTCAAAGCGCACCCGGACTGGAAGTGGTGCAACAAGGACCGGAAGAAGTCCACCTCCGACCTGAAGCCCCTGGGGCCTGGGGGATGCGCCAAGGAGATGCGGGAGCGCAGCATGTCCGAGACAGGAGGCGCCGCCCTCCCTGGAGGTGAGCCCCTCCCTCCCTCCTTCCCCCCTCCCCCACCCCCCCTCGGCCCTCCTGACCTTTCCCCCCTCCCTCCCTCCCTCGCAGGTCCCTCTGAGATGCAGGTGCTGCTGGGGCCGGAGGGGAAGGCTGGCCTGGCAGGGGCCGAGGGCCGTGGGGAGCGCATCCTGCCCACCACGGGGACCGGGAGTCAGCGCCCGCGCGCCTTCTCCCACAGCGGGGTCCACGGCATGGAGAGCGAATGGGAGAGCCAGGTATGGGGCCATTTTTGGGGATGAAGTGTTGGGGGTCCGGGTTGGTGCCTGCCCAGTTGGTTTCCCTGGGCAACAGCTTCGGTACCCAGAGCTGCCAGGGTTATAACGCTGGTTGCTAGGCAGTGTGGTCATTTGTTTTGGGGTTTCATGAAGAGACCCATTAGGAAATGCAAAATGACAGAGTAAACTACAACTCCCATCATCCTACACCAATCTTCTCTCCCCCTCCCCTTCCAGTGCTTTCTGTTCGTCACTGGGTGGGGGGGTGGTCTGTGCGCAAAATTCTGTGGGGGGGGGGGGCGTCATAGGAGCCATTTTGGAAGCTACATATGAACATAGGTAGAATATAGATGGATAGATACGTGCCTATATAATCTGGCTTTTATTTAGTTAGTTATAGGTTAGATCAGTGATGGGCAACCTTTTGAGCTTGGTGTTGACACGTTGACAATTTGTTTTGGCAAATTGGTCAGAATTTGCCAAAAACCTGAGCATAACTTGGGTGGGGTGTCAACTTCGAGAGAATACAAACATAATTTTGCCATTTATAGTTTAAATAAGAAAAATGTATATTCTATGCTGAGTTATGGAGTGAACAATGCTCAAACGTGCAGATGTTAAATTTGTAGATAAGGATGGAATTAGATTGGCTCTTATAAGGTGTACTTCTCTGTATGTGGCCGCATGTGGCCGCGTGTCATCAAAAATAGCCAGGCGTGTCAGTGCTGACACGCGTGTCATAGGTTCACCATCATGGGATTAGATACATAGATAGATGGGTTAGATATATAGATATGGAAAGGTGTTCATAGCTGTGCCCGCCAAGCGCAGTCCTTGAGGTGGGAGAATCGTATATTTCTGGGCCGCAGCCCCTCCCACCCACCTGGCCTGTCCCAGTGGGGGTGGCCCTGCTGGCCCCTCCCCCACCCGCTACCTGTCCTCCTCTTGGGGTGCGTCTCTGAGGGTCTCCCTGTGCTCCCCCCCATAGGTGTGTCCGGGCCCCCCGCTCTTCTCCGGTGGGAAGGGCCCGTTTGTGGGGCTGGTGCCTTCGGGGTCGCCCTTTGCGGCGCCAGGGGAGGGGCCCCGGCACCCGCTGCTGCCCCCGCCGCCACACGCCTCGCGCACCTCCCGCTCCCAGCGCACCACCAGCGAGGACATGACCAGCGACGAGGAGCGGATGGTCATCTGCGAGGAGGAGGGCGACGACGACGTCATCGGTGAGCGTGCCCTCTGCCCTTTACCTTCCCCGGATTTAGGCCTCTTGTCCTGGCATGTCCGTTCCCTTTCCCTCAGAAAAGCAGAACCAGCCATGCCAATGGCCGAAATGAGTGATTCGGAGGGGGGGGGGGCTGGCTGGTGGCTTTCCGGCCATGGCCTTGGTGACACCTGGCCTCGGGGACTCTGTTTATGCCAGCGGGGTTAAATCCCGATGTTTGCTTTGCCCGCCTTGACCGGGCTTCTTTGTGGACATCAGGCCAGTCGTCGGGATTTTCCTGCCGCCGTTCCAGCTGCCGATGGGCACAACCTTCCCCCCCCCCCCAGCCCCCAAATCCCTGTTGTGTTGCGCTGGCATCTGCGGTCAGTGTATTTGAAGGTCTGCCATAATCCTGCCTCTGGGATAAGAGCCCGCTCCTCCTCTGCTGGCCCCTCCCTCCCCATCCCTCCATCCTGCTGTCTGTCTCTCCTGGGAGTTTTGGGAGGGGGGGGGACCCTCTGTGTATGTGTGTGAAGGCCTCTCGCTCGCTCATTCCCTCACTTTGCCCCCTTTTAGCAGAAGACGGGTTCAACCCTCCGGACGTGGATCTGAAGTGCAAGGAGCGGGTGACGGACAGCGAGGACAGCGAGGGCTCCGTGGGGGAGGGGCCCGAGGGGAAGGTCAGCGAGGTTGCAGAGGCTGTCGGTAGGGGGGAAGTTGCTGCTGGGGGGTATTAGAGTTAATTTGGCTCTCCGCCGTTAACGACACCCTTCCCATCGCTTGCAGGACTTTGCCCGGAAGCGCTTCTCCCCGGTCATCCGTTCGGCCGCCCCGTCCCCCGCCTCCGGCCCCCCTCCCCCTCCGGCTCTGGACTTGGACCCCCCTCCCCCGCCCACATCCGGCCACGACCCGCAGCAACAGCCCCTCCCCCCCAAGCCCTACGGCTCCTTCCAGGCGACGCCCGGCCCCTCCTCCTTCAAAGCCCAGGACTCACGCGGGGCGCCCCGACCAATCAGCAACGCACCTGCAGCCAAGCGGCCGGAGCCCCGCTTCGACCCTTCTTTGGCCGCGGCTTCATACCGGCGGAAACGGGCAGACAGTGCCGGGCCGGAGTGTGGGGCGGCGGCCCCCCTGCACTCGGTCATCTCCTCGCCCGGCGGGGGCCTGGTTCAGGCGGTGGTGCTGCCGGACGCCGCCCGCTTGCCCTCGGGGACGGTGCTGGTGACGGCCCCCTCCACAGGACCCCTGGGCGGGGGTGTCATTGGCTACAGCGGGACTCCGCACGGCATGACTCGAGCGGCCTCCACCGTGGTCACCAACGTGGTCCGGCCAGTCAGCAGCACCCCGGTGCCCATCGCCAGCAAATCCTTCCTGCGGGGGTCTGGGGAGGGGCCGCCCCTGCTCAGCCCCCACACGGCAATGGACGGCAGTGCGAAGCAGCCTGAGAGTGGAGGCCTCTCCATGGGGCGCGTGGGGGTGTTCTATGCAGAGAAGAAGGGCCCCCCAACACCCATCTCCAGCGGCAGTGCTCAGCCCCCCTCCTCTTCGTCTTCCCACCTGCTGACCAGTTCGCTCCTGGGGCCGGGCCTGGCCGCTGTGGGGAAGGGCCCTCCTGCTGGGCCGGGGGGGCTGGTGACCAACCTGCTGGTGGGGGCGCAGGGGGGCACCGGCGGGGCGGGGGTCCCGGTGGCAGTGCTCCCCCCGGGGGCTGCCCTGGCCCCACCCACACCTGCCGTGCAGTTCATCGCCCAGAGCCCCCCTGGCCCCAACGGGCCCCTCCCGCTCGGCCTTCTCCAGCCGCAGGGCCTGCTCTCGGGGACCGGGGCCAAGGCGGGGGGCATCGCGCAGGTCCAGTACATCCTGCCCTCGCTGCCACAGCCGCTGCAAGTCTCCTCCTCCGGGGGGAAGGGGCCGGCCTTGGGCGGAGCGGCGGCAGCGCCCCCCAGCATCCACTTCACCCTCCCGCCGGCCAATGGGAAGGTGCTGGCTGCCCCCCAGGCCCCCTTCCCCATCATCCAGCCGGGGCCCGGGAACAGCGGAGGCGGCGGCGGCGGGAGTGTCACCATCATGGCTTCCGCACCCAAAGGTGAGGGGGGGGGGCGCTTGTCTGCTTGTGTGCATCTTGTGGGGAGGGGGGTCTCCTTGCTTGTTTGGGTCTGCTTCATCCTTGTCCCTCTTTCCTCCCTCCCTGCAGCGCAATCCGTGTCTCCGGTCCAGGCCCCTTCGCCGGGCAGCACGGCCCATCACCCCCCCTTGGCGCCTGGGACGGCCGTGCCCCCCGCGGGGCTGCAGGTGCAGGGCAAGGTCCTGGTGCCCATGGCCGCCCCACAGGTAGCCGTCCGGACCACCACGGCCACCCAGCTGCCCCTGGTCTCCCCTCCGTTCTCGGTCCCGGTGCAGAACGGGAGCCAGGCCGCCAGCAAGGTCAGCCCCCGCCCTGCAATTGGGTCTGGGTCTGCGTTGAGGTGGGGAGGGGGCTGCAGGGAGCAACAGGAGCCTCTCTGTGAAGGGTGCTCCAGATAGGGTTGTGCAGGATGGGTCTTGAGCTGCCCGCCTTCCTTCCAGATCATCCAGCTCACCCCGGTCCACCCGGTGGTCCACCCGCAGCCCCCTCCGCAGAGCGCGGCCACCCTGGTGCCCCCCTTGAGCCCAGCTGCCTTGCAGGGGGCCACCGTCGCCATGGGAACCCAGGCCCAGAAGGTGCTGCTGCCCTCCTCCTCTACCAGGTGCGGACAGGGCTCTGACGGGGGACACGGACACGCGTGTTGGGCATGACAAAGCCCCCTTGGCTGCAGTGGTGACCCCTCCCTCTCTCCCGTCCCTCTGCCCAGGATCACCTACGTCCAGTCGGCCCCCCAGGCGCAGCCCAGCACCCCTCCAGCCGCGGCCACTTACGTCCAGTCCCCCATTGGCCCTGCGCAGATGGCCCTGGGCTTCACCACCATCGGGCCAAACGGGCAGGCCATCGTCCAACCCTTGCTCCAAGGTAAGGCCCACCTGGATGGATTGAGGGAAGCATGGCCTCAGGGTGCCTCTGGGGCTGAACCCCCCATCTCTCTC